GGGGCCCGAGTCGCTGCAGGCCCGCCTTGGGGGTTTGTGCCGGCTGCCGCGCGGGCTCGGCTCCTTCCGGCCGGGTCTCGGGCTCCTCAGTTTGCCCCTGGGCCGTTAGCGCCGGCGGGTCCTGCGGACTCGGCTCCCGCCCTCTGAGGGCCCGGCTTGGCGTGCGGCCGGCAGGAGGCGCCCTGCCTGCCCCACTCCCAGTGTTTTTCGCGGACTCAGTCCGAGCTCCCGAGACTTGGGGGCCCTTCTGTAGCAGGCCTGAGCATCGAAAATTCTGTGGGTCCCTTACCCCGCGAATGAGGAAGTCAAAATGAAAACCGGACGAAACCATAAAATAAGTGAAAGGACTTCAGCGGACTTGGGCAAATTCTTTCAATCCCCTGGCCCTCCGCGTGTGCGCGAGCGCGCGTGTGTGTGTGTCTGCGGTCAGGACGGCCAGGTTCCGCGCACCTGCAAGGCGGGGAGACCAGATCTGGAAAGCATTGGGTGCTAGCTCCATCTCTGAAGGACTGTGGACAGATCACGGCCCTTTGGGTCCTCAGTCTGTTTAGCTGTGACGTGGGAATGGCAGAACTGTTCCCAGTGTGGGAGCCAGTGCTCAGGGAGAACTCCCCCAGGGCAGCCCCCCCAGAGCAGGTCCCTCAGCTCCTTGGCCCTGGTCTTCCCCACAAGCTCCCCCTGGGGGAGGGGGTTCCAGTGATCTGCATGAAGAGCAGAACCTGGGATTCCCCCATCCCAGAAGGCTTCCCGTGACCAGCCAGCTCTCTGGAGCCAAAAGGAGGGGTGAACAAAAGGAAAGACCAAACCCACTGCCATCGATTGTGTCGACTCCAACTCACAGAGATTCTATAGGTCAGAGTAGAACTGCCCAGACACAGTCACCAAAGGCTAACCTGGCGGGGGAGCTGCACCTTCCGGACCAACTGTAGCCAGCTTCCCTGGAGCAAAGTTCCAAGGGCAGTGTCCGTGTCTGGGAAGTGCAGGCGCTCCTAGAGGCCAGGGGCAGGTGAGGGCTGTAGCTGAGGCTGGATGGGGCTGAGCCTGTGGGAGAGAAAGGGCCAGCCTCAAGCGAGGTCACATTCCAGAAGGTGGTTACTGGGCACGGCTTCCAACCAGTTCCTGCCTGTTCAAGCCGCTGCTGAGACCGTTTTTCCACCTGATATACTGAATCAGAGTCTTTTAAGAAACCCCTGAGGATCTTGGTAGACGTAGTCAATCTAGAGTGGAAACGCAAATTCCCAGCAGCGGCTCTAACTGGCACGAACCGGTTCGAAGCTGTGTTTCTGGGTCTGCGCGTGGGAGCGAATTCCCCCGGGAGGGGGAGGGGAGGCAGGCGCCAGCGAGCTGTGATCTAGCGCCAGGACAGAAAGCGTTTCTGTGGCCCAGAAATCTTTGAACCTGTAATTGGAGCCATCACAGCTGGTTGGCGCTATGAATTGGAGTTTTAAAAGGAAGAACCCAAAAGCGCTGGCTTGCCTTTTTTAACTGCAAGATGGGAACTACCCCAGGTGGCGAGACCTGCCCGTTATTCTCGGAAGATCCTGCTTGGGGCTGGACGTTGTGCACATGGCCTGCGTGTCCTGGGGGCTCTATCTAGAAGGTATGAGGGAGGGCGCCCAGATGCAGCTGGCTTTGCCCACCCTGACCGCCGGCCCTAGCGAGGGCAGGTTGAGTGTTGCCAGGAGGTCGGTTCAAAGCCAGGCCTTGCAGGCTGCGGTGCTTTTGGAAATGTGGGTCCTTTTTTGGTGCGGCTGTGGGAGCCTGGGAGTGGGAGCCGGGCTGGCTGACTGCGGAGGTGCTGCTCCCTGCACGAGGGTCAGCCTGGGACACAGTCCAGACTGGAGGCCAGCCGCAGGGGGCAGGAAGCAGCTCGGAGGCCCGGGGCATTGCTAATTCGGGACTAGCGCCCGCACAGGGTAGAAGAGGGGCCTTGAAGTGAGCCGCGTGGGACTTTGTTTTCTGTTACTTGGACAAAGGTGGGAGAGCCCTCTCTCCTCTGTCTGTCTGTCTTTCTCAGGCCAGGCAGGTAGTGGGTGGAGATGGACAAGAAGCGGCTCACATGGCTGCCTTAGGGATCCTGCTGCACATTCCAGGGGCTGCGGTGTCTGGACTCAGGACAGGGGCCCCCTCTCAGCCTTGTCCTTCCCAGCCTTCTCTCCCGCAGTCATCATCCACTTGCTGCACTCACACCACAGGTTGGCCCCAGCAGCTTGGGACAGTGCTCTCCTCTCCAAAGAGGGGCGCACTTTGCCAGGTGGTGTGACAGGGGAAGGGGGTGTGCTGCCAAGATCCTGCTGGGCATCAGGAACAAGACACCCTCTGAGATCTCGGGCTTGTCGGCAGCGGGGTCCCCAGGACAAAAAGGTCTGAGGGGGAAACACCAGGCCTCAGGCAATGACCCAGACACCAATTCCTGGATGCAGATCAGTCCACAGGCCTTCAGGAGGGCAGCTATGGCCGCCTGACCATTCACTGAGGGACACAGGGCCTTCCTTTCTGGGACTGGTAGGTGCTGCACACTGATGCCCCATACCCACTGGTCAGAGTGCAGCTTTGGAGGTTAGGAGAGAAATGCATATGACCGTAGTCCATCTCATGGTGGACCCAGTGGGCACCAGGAAGCTCAACCAAACCAAATTTACTGCCATCAAATCTATTCTGACTCACAGCAACCCCTGTTGGGGTTTCTGAGGTGGTAAATCTTTACAAAAGTAGATTGCCCCATTTTCCTTTTGCGGTGCAGCAGGTGAGTTTGAACTACTAGTCTTCTGGTTAGTAGTCAAATGCCTTAGGCACTATGCCACCAGAGCACAGGAATCTGGTCTATGCTAATTTCTCCTGGTACTGAGCACATCATTCGAGTAGATGCAGTGAATGACTGGCCAAGATACACACCATCTATGATGGGGGTCAGGGAGAGCAACTGAGGCTCCTAGAGCCGCCCTTCCTGTATCAGTTGAGGACACCCCAGATTCTCTGACAGATAAACCCCGAATCTTGCTTCCTACATGTTTATCTCTTGCTCACATTAAGTCTAGTTCGCAACATGGGCAGGGCTGAGGGCTCTACTCCATGCAGTCATTCAGGAGCCAGTTCTAAGGGGTGTGTTTGGGAGTGTTTATTCCTAGGAGCTCAGATTAGGCCCTTCTCTTCCAGTCCTTCCAATGATTTTGTGGGATCCAATGATTTTGTGGGAACCAATTCCCTTTCTGCTCACAGTAGACACAAGCACGTCTGTAATCTACACTGAACTCTGGCTCTCACAGTCATAAGACCAGATGGTCAAGGAACTGAGAGGCTGTAGTGAGAGGGGTCATGCAGAGGGGTGTGGATGATGTCAGGATGTGGGGTGAGCAGGCAGCCCGTGACCCAGATGTCTGTGGCAATAGGTTTCTCTTTTTATATGGCCTTTCTGGCCATGGTCTTGTAACTCCCACAAATGATTGGGTGGGACTATGTAAATACAAGGAGCTCTGGTAGCATAGTGCCTAAGGCACTTGACTGCTCACCAGAAGGCTGGCGGTTCAAACCCACCAGCCACTCCTCGGAAGGAAGGTTGGGCAATCCTACTAACGTAGTGATACTGCCTCGGAAACCCAAGGAGGGGTCACTATGAGTCAGGGCTGACTCGACGGCAAACAACAACAACGATGTAAATACAATGTGTAAAACTCTTGCTAGGATTGGCTGGACGTGCAAATAAGGTGCCTATGGCCCTCTGATAGCATAGTGCCTAAGGCACTTGACTGCTAACCAGAAGGCTGGTGGTTCAAAGCCACCAGCCACTCCTTGGAAGGAAGGTTGGGCAATCTACTTGCGTAGTGATACTGCCTCAGAAACCCAAGGAGGGGTCGTTATGGGTCGGTCCGACTCATAGATGGCAAATAACAACAACAACATGGCCCACCAAGGTCATTGGTCAGTTTTGCCATTCTACTAGGTTTAAATAGGGCCAATCCCAGAGGTCGAGGGGGGACTTCACAACCATCAAGAAGAGCTGGGAGTGAAATGTATCCTTTAGATTCAGGGTCCTTGCACTGAGAACCTCCTAGATCCAGGGGACAGAGAGTTTTAACACTGGAGGTGAAGGAGGCACGAGGTGACGGGGTGGGAGGTGACAGGGGTGGGAGGTGACAGGGATGGGAGGTGATGGGCACTGGAGGTGACAGGGATGGGAAGTGACAGGGGTGGGAGGTGACGGGTAGGAGGTGACAGGAAGGAGGTGACAGGCACAGGAGGTGGTGATGGACAGGAGGTAACAGTGTCAGGAGGTGATGGGCAGGAGGTGGCGGGGGCACAGGACTGGCAGATAGCTGCAATGGGTTTGCTGGCCTACAGAGTGAGGAAGCTGAGTGCCTTTGGGCAGGAGGCTTTCTGGTGGAATGGGGTGTCTCTGGGCACTTACAGGTGAGCTGAAGAACTGGAATGCTTGTAGGAGCAGGGCAGAGGGCTGGCCCAAGGAGGTCTGGTGGTAGAGGCCTGCCTGCAGGTGCTGCTGGAAAAGCTGTCCTGATGGAAGAACTGTATCTTGAGTTGTTTCTGTTACTTCCA